GTCCTTGCCCCGGCGTCGCGCGTCTTGCGCGTCCAACCCCCTAGCCCAGTGTCGTAAGATTTGCGGAATTTCGATCATATCGCCGCCGTGCGTTTAAGAATAGTGAAACTCGGCTCTCGGTTACGAGATTCGAGGATTCCTTCGCTTCCACGGTACAAATTTAAATACAGTTTTGATACCATTTTATTATGTCTCCCCTCCCCTTTCTGACTGGTATTATTTCTTCCGTCGAGAGAGAGGCATTCTTCCTTCGTCTCGACGGAAGCAGATTAGTGATTATGGGGTTCGTAAAAATGTTATGTCTGATTCTATCGCGTACCGATTTTGCCGAACTTTAGAGACGTGTTCAGAGAGGATTTATTTAAGTGTCTCTCAAGTTTCTAGTGTTTGGAATTGTACGAAACTTGAGAGACGTTCAGGAACGGGTCGTTTAAGAGTCTCTCGAGATTCATGATGTTTATTCTAGTTTTATAGATGTAATAATATTTTCCTTTCTGTTATTATTGTTTTATATGATTTTAACATCATTTTATGTTTGTTATAAATGTATCTCAGGACTTCTAAAAATAATGAAGACAGCCCTTCAAGATTCCCATGATACTGAGGTCAGTGATAAAATTAATAGTGATATATTTAGAAGGAATATTTAAATAATTATCTTTGTATAATTATTGTATATCTTAATAAGTTTAATTAATAGAGAAGTAGTTTAAACGAAATTCAAACGTCTCGTTTTACTTACCTTCGACTCTATCCATATCTAATTCCTTTTCCATGTCATTTTCATTTAGTGTAAGTAGAAATAAGATAGAATAAAAATTTAATAAATTCTTGGAATCGTGACGTCATCACCAGGAGTTAGTGCTACCTCCTATCAACTTATATTCTCCTAATACAAAGTCCGATTTTAGAGAAAAATTTTGCTCTCCGAGAATTCTTGGAAATGACGTCATCAGGAGAACTTAGTGCTACCTCCTATGCTATCATATTCTCCTAATACAAAGTCTAGTTTTGCCAAAATTTTCTTGAAAATTTAACTTTGTATCAGGAGAATATGATGTGATAGGAGGTAGCACTGAGTTCTACTGATGACGTCATTTCCAAGAATTTTCGAAAAGCAAAAATTTTCTCTAAAATCTAACTTTGTATCAGGAGAATATGATGTGATAGGAGGTAGCACTAAATCCTACTGATGACGTCATTTCCAAGAATTCTTGGAAAGCAAAATTTTTCTCTAAAATTGGACTTTGTATTAGGAGAATATGATGTGATAGGAGGTAGCACTAAGTTCTCCTGATGACGTCATTTCCTAGAATTCTCGAAAAGCAAAAATTTTCTCCAAAATCGGACTTTGTATTAGGAGAATATAATAGAATAGGAGGTAGCACTAACTATTACCGATGACGTCATTTCCAAGAATTCTCGAAGATCAAAAATTTTCTCTAAAATCTAACTTTGTATCAGGAGAATATGATAACGTAAGAGGTAGCACTAACTCCTGTTAGTGACGTCATTTCCAAGAATTTCGGGACCCTAAATTTAATGTACTTATACTACTAATTTAATAGTGATCAGGACTATTATTTCGAGATATAGTTCTCGTTAAGGAACAGGCGTTGGTCATTCTAGGAATAATGGACAGTTGATTGAATACACAATAAGATATATATTTAACAAGATCTTTATTAAACTTCCAAACAATTTACAAAATCCAAAAATCTGATATCTATACAATTTCACTTAAGACTAGTTATACAAAAATAACGCACAATGTAATAAAACACTTGCCACCGATGATGCATCTTGAGATAACTGCCTGGTAATCGTCCTTTCTTCCTAAAGAAGTAGATCTCTTCAGGGAAGGTAATCTTCAAGAAGAACGTAATATTCCTGTTCGTAATGGACTGATTTTAAACACTGGAATCGAAGCCGAACGTCCGAAGAATAATCCTGAGCTGTGTAACACGCGATCACTCCAATTCAGATCACTAGAAGTTGAGAGAGTAACATTTTTAAAAAATAGAATCATTTTATAATTCAAAGAGCTGAGGGAGTAACATTTTGATAAGATACAATCATTTTATAATTTAAAGAGCTAAGAGTGTAACATTTTTATAAGATAGAATCATTTTATAATTCAAAGAGCTGAGGGAGTAACATTTTTATAAGATACAATCATTTTATAATTTAAAGAGCTGAGAAAGTAACATTTTTATAAGATACAATC